CCCCGGGCTCGGGCAGCCGCCGCTGCCGCAGCCCCTCGTCGTCGTCCGAGCCCGAGGCGTCCTCATCGGCGCTCATCTCCAGGATCTGCTTGCGGATGAAGTCCTCCTCATCCCCTGAGCCCGCACTGGCCTCGTGCTTGTCCTCCTCACTGCTCGACGAGCCCACGCTGGCCCTCCGCTTCCTGGGGGGCACCGGCGAGGTCTCGCTTTCGCTGCTGTCCTCCAGCGAGGCGCGACTGTCCCCTGCCAGCCTGGCCCGTTCTGGGGGGCCCTGGCCACCCGGCACGCCCTGTTGAGCCCCTTTCCTGGAATCATCTCTCCTTTCTTCTGGGCTGTCCTTGAGCTCCTCCTGGGCAGCAGTCCTCTCCAGGGCTTTGGGGAGCAGCTGCGCTTTCTGTGGGTCCCTCGGCTGCGCAGCAGAGACCTCGAGGGGTTGTGTCTTCCTGTCTGGTTTTTCATCTGCCAGCGTAGTACCCTGGGCTTCCAGAATGGAGAGGACCGTGCTTTCTAGCTTGGCCAGGTCGGTGGGGCTGGGCGGGCTGCTTTCTCGAGAAAAAGAGTCCTTTTTGAGTTCCTTGAGCAAGTCCTTCTCATCACTGGGAATCAGACTTGGGATCTCACCAAGAGACCCTGATATTCCGTCAGAAGAATATCCTGTGTCGCTCAGGCCTTGTGGGCTTTTAGGCTGCTGAGAACTTGAGGTGTCTGACTTGTCCTCTTCCTTTTCCTGGCGGGAAGGAAAAGACACAGGGACACTTAGGATAGTGGCACCGTACACCCGCCTTCCCCCTTGCCCCCATAACCACGAGGGATCCACAGCCTGCTCACCAACAGGCCAGGACTTTAAAGTTCCAGTGAGAGCAAAACATAAAAATAGAAGTTAATGTTCATCCAACCTGTTAATTTACATGTCACTTCGTGATCTCGGAGTTTCTTCTGTTAATACTTCACCCTTGTACATTTAACCTTCCTTCCCAAATACTGTTTCTCAGTACCTTTACTACGGAATAAGCTACAACTGTAAAAGAACAACTTTCACAGTAATTTTCTATTAGCATAATCTCTCTGGATTATCAGGTCAGGCAAAAATGAGAAACAATCAGAGGATAAGCCTGGTGCTTGCCTGGCTGGTAGGAAATTTTCCTAACACAGCGTACAGCTCATGGCCCTAACACTACACATGCCACCTCATGTTTCTGCTTTTTTAGTCAAACAAGCCGCTGCCTTTAAAAGACACTTTAAGTGCTGTGAACCAGCACATTCTTGGTATTGCTCTTACAGTTATTACTGTCACTTGAAATGGATGTTTAGAAATTGTAAACTTTGAAAAAATTACACAATAATTGTCCTGACTCATCAGTTCAGCTAAAGAGAAGTACTCAATTTGTTTTTTTTTTCTAGATTCATGGATCACATTGCAGCATCCCGCATCAGTGTTGTTTCACACACTGCTCTTGTCATTGACCTTGAAGTCACTTGGTGTTTCACACCGAAGGCAGGTCCTCCGGCCAGGAAGTGACTACTGTGAGTGGGCCACGCACTTCCCAGGAGCTGGGACACTTGCTTACCCTGGGTGCTTTCTTTGTGCTGTGCGGATGCCACCATTTATCGAAAGAGCCACCAAGGTCTTTCAGGAAAATGTCAGCCCCAGAGACTCTGCTAATTACAAACATCCATGAGAAACAGGAGGCCAACTGATCTCCTCAGCTGCCAGGCTTAAGGAGAGCTTAAGGATAGCCACAGCCCAGTGGAAAGAAGGGTCTGAGGGAAAGCAACCCCCAGCACAGGGGCCTTCTCATGGCCCAAAAGGCAGCCGAGATTCCACTGGACCTGCGCTTGGAACTCTGGCAGTTTCTGTGGGTGTGCAGTGCATGTGTGCACAAGCTCTGTTATCTACTGCCACTATGAGCACCTCAGGTTGCACAAGTAATGATGTCACACAAAACACCCTTCCTCCCTCCTGCCTTTCTTTCCTTTTCTTCTGGCTACAGAGTTCTCAGATATAAGTGTTGCTGACTGAATTCTCACTTTGGACTTATTTTCACATCAGTCTAATACTTTACTACATATGGCTAAAGATATATCCTGAGCTCAGTCCAGGTTAAGATGGTTCTGCTGAGTTAACATGCCTGCATTCAAAAGAACAGTCTGATACAGCTTAACAACTTTGGTGCACAAAGCAACGCCTAATCATTTAGATCATTAAGAACCATCCTGGCTCATTTCAGTGTCTTTCTAGAAAATATTACTGATCTGGAGGTGAGACTGTGATCTGAGCATCCAACTCACTTCAGTTCCTTCTCCTAGGAGCTATGATCTGAAAGGGTAAGGGTGCAGCCCTCTGGGAAAATCCCCAGAATGGTCTCGGTGGGAAGACATTCCTCTGGGATTGCATTTCACACAACTGAGCGCACACTTATGCCTTTTGTGCCCAGCACAGGCAGTTAGGACCATCCAACGTTCACTGGCTCTCAGTAAATAGCATCACCAGGAGCGTAGGGAGTCTGAGAAAAACAGGTCAGGATAAATGATCTTTCATAGTTTAAACTGGAGTACCATTTTGTATTCCTTGTGTCCATGTACCAGTGCAACAAAGCTGCATGCTTATGGAGGAAACGAGAGTAACAGTTCATTGAGCATAACAAAAAGTTACTTTCATACAATGGATTCCAAGAGCTCCACTGATATTTTAAAGCAATGAGAATAGGATTAGACATGAAAACTGTTATAAGAAAATGAAATATTAGACAAAAGACTAACACATAAACACCCAAATTCCTACCCTGTGACCTGTCCCCCCGCCACTCGGCTTCTCTCTGTGCCTGTGCTGTCCTTCCTTCCTCAGTACTCTGGTGTACCCACTGGTTCTCCCGGCCCAGGTCACTGTGCTCCACACCCTGAACATTCGCCTGTGGCGATGCTGCAGTGAGGACTCTGCCCCCAAAATGACTCTTCATTTCCCATGTGCTAAGGTGGTGAGCCTCCACCATGTTTTGTTCTCCACACTCTCAGGGTCTAAGATCAAATGTTGGGAGCAGCTGATCAGGAAATCAGGTTAGCTCAACAAAAGACATCTGGCTGATATATTCAGAAGGAACAGCTTCTGGTCCTTATTTATCATGGTATATTGAAAAAAATTATTGACGTCAGTTTCTGGTTCCAGTGCAGCTCTGGAGAACTTTCTAGGGGGAAGACTACGAAGAACCAAGGGCAAGAGTTAAAATGCAGAAAGCTGAGGTAAGGCAGAGCCCTCTCACTCGGTGGAGAAAAGGAACTGCCCAACAACTGCAGTATGTTTGTTTATATGTATACTCAGCAGGCTGATGGCAGGTGAAACCCCTCTGCCTAACAACTTGTTTGCCTAGCTTGCCTCGGGAACCTCATATTCTCAGGGCTGGCCTTACCTGATCGATCTCCAGCTCAGCCGCTCCACACAGTCAGTTTTTCCTGACTAGCTTTCGGTATGAAGTCCCTAGCAGAGTTCATTGTCCTACTGCCTTACACTGTGGGCTTGTGAACAATCAGATCTCACACTGCCCAGGTCCTTTGCCTCCTGGGACCTATATATTCAGCTTTACAGATGCTACTAATTTGTTGAGAAGTCTTTTCTTTGTTACAGACAGAGACTGGCACACTGAAGTGCTTATCAACCCTGGCCTTCTGTTAACCCTTTCCCTATTATCCCCTGCTTTTTGGGACATCTGCATTACAAGAGGAGTGTAGTTTGTATGATGCAGTTTACCTGGTGTATACTGCTAAACACTGCTTTCTTAGTAACATCTATTAGAAATTAGACCACATAAGAGACACTAGATAAAACACAGAAGACTGTGTATGTAATTTGGATCACATTTTCTCTAATTATTCATCTTTAATGGGTACCTGAATTATCATAAATCTAGAGGGCTCTGATCAAAAGATGCAGGTGAGGACAGCCTAATTCAGTTCATTTTCCTGAAATCTTCACAATCTACATGACTAAAAGATTTAGAAATTTCTCTTACTTGCTTCAAAAATGTAAGGAGGTGTGCTTATTTTAAGAAGAATACTAAGCTATTTAGTAATATAGCATTTAATGATATGAATTGAATAAAATGGTTCTTTCTAAATTACATGTTTATATGTGTGTATAAATACCACTTAGTTTTATTTTTTTCCCATTTGAACAGTCAGGAAATTGGCATTTGTATTATTCATCAAAAATTTTTTTACATGCAATACAATTTAGAACAGCCTCTAAATAATAAAATATCAAGTATAATCTTTTTCATGGGAATTTTATTTTCATCCTTGATAGAGGCAATGAGCATGAACAGCTATAATTTAACCATATATTTTTAAATAGCTTTGTTTGTTATCATTTTCTCTAAGAAAATTTGTTTCTTGGTTTTCTTCTTTTCTAGCAGCATTGAGGATTGAATCCAGTGCCTTCACACTGAGCTATATTCCCAACTAATCTTTTTAAAATCTTAAGACATGGTCTTGTTAAATTGCCCAGGCTGGCCTCAGATTTGTGATCCTCCTTCCTTGACCTCCCAGAGTTCTGGAATTACAGGTGTGTGCCACCACGTCTAGCTATTTTTTTTAAAATAACGTTGAACAGACTCTACTACACTGACTTCTAATTTATTATATATGGCACTTTCCCAATATATAGAATTATGACTACTTGAGTCTCGTCTAGGCTATGTATATAAAACAATTACATAAAATTTCCAGTGGCTAAGATTCCTTTTTCAAATCACTAACTAAAAACAGAGAGTGAAGAATTCCTTTTCCATCCAACATCCCACACACATTTATTGAACTACAGAAAGACAGTGATGAGTTGTGCCCCATATGAAACTCTCCCAGTACTTCTTCAGGACATCCCTCGTGATGGAGAGCATGCCAAAATATATGTGCACTGTCAAGTTTGGTGGTGCCCTTTCCAGAAACAGTGAAGCTTTTATCTTTCTATACGGAAAGCAAACAGTAGTTTTCTGAGTAGTTCTGTGTGTTAAGAATTGAATTCTAGATTATATACAAAAAGATGCAAAGCAAATGTATTACATTTTAGGTAAATTTTCCCAAAGTCATTATTTTTTATAGACTAAAATTATACAACAAATTTATAATCTTTTATTATTTATACAAAGTTTGTTTGCATAGGTTGTTAATCTGGGTGCTTGAAACATTCCAAAAAAGATGAAGTCCATAAAATTCACAGGGCTTGAAGGGAAAGATCAAACATTCCCACCTAGTCACCATAATATCCATACAGAAAACCTGATTATGTCTCACCCTGATTGTCTAGTCACTGTATCTAGTGGCTATATGTGATTTGAATATTAATCTTTCAAATCACTTTAAACAAATTAACATGCTAAAGTCTATTCAAGGCTCTGAAATCAAGACAGCTATAGTATTTAAGTGCAATATATCAAATATAGCCTTAAAGGGTATTCTGCTTAAATATATAAGTAAAAAGAATTGTGTGGCACCATGACTTGTAAAATGTTAAGTTAGGAAAGTGTACTTTCCATACTCCTAATTGTCTTTCAGGATTAATCTTAGTTCCATTCAACAGACACATTTTGAAAATCTTGAACAAACAAAATGCTGTGACAACAAATAAATATTAAAACATACAATAATAATATGGACAACAGAGGGGACAGATAAGTGAATAAATAAAATCACATAAATATCTAAAAATAAAAATTATGCAAAGTAGGGCTGTGGCAGAAGCTGCTCAGGGAGACAACGGATTGTCATAATGCAAAGGCAGAGTGCCAAAGCATCCTAGCAGAAAAAAGGCGATGGGCGCAGCCCTGACCATCACACTGGACTTCGGTCCCACTTCTGCTGCTTCCAAGTTATGGAGTGGGGCACACAATCAGATTTCCCCGTCCTTCTGTCTGATTTCCTCAACCATCACAATATTTATCTGGTCAGTAATTCTGTAAAGGATTTACAGTGCCAAGAATATAGTAAGAAGTACATTAAGAATATTATCTTTATTTTTGAAAAAAAACTGATTAAAAATTACTCCACGTAGGCATTTCAGTGGTCAGATAAGTGGCTGCCACTGGACTTGTGGATGAGGGGCCAGGACAGTGGCCTGGAGTCCCATGGGTCTTGTAAGGTGAGGTGAAGGTGCCACATCAGCACACCAGAGACTGAGTTCAGGGCGGCAGGGGGACAGCTCTCTCTGTGTTTCGGAATCGCAAACAATGAGTGTTTCGTTTTTATTTCCAGTTATACTGGACCCGGACTGCAGAGGGCTGAGAAGGCTGAGTCAGCAGGACTTCCCACTGTGGGGCGGGACCTCCACTGTGGGGTGAGGCTATCCATGCTAGGCAAATGGCTGAAGGACTACAAGGAAATATTTACGTTTTTATTGTAAGTTTTAAAGTCCAAACAAAAAATGAAGTTTCCCGATATCTTAAATAGATCAGCACCAGTATTGCCTCATTTCTTATTAGGTGTTAGGTCACACGGTCTACAGAAATCCTGGGCAAACCCTGGAAGTCGGACTCCAAGGAGCAGCGAGGTAGAGACAGCCATCTCATGTGACTCTTTATATATTCAAGCTCACTGTTCAGTTTAAAATACCTATGGCTTTTATTACTAGTTTTAATCAAACCAACCTTTCCATAAGGGGTACAGAGTAGGCAAAATATAGCTGCAAAAGAATCATGTGTTGATAAAATTAATAAAGCAACACATATTCTTTATGAAGGAAGCTGAGATGTTTTCAAATGGTGAATGGACTTTCATAAGAAACATAACAGGGTAAAAATAATGACAAATTAAGCCAAATCTGACACGAAGTTGGGCAAAAATGTTTGATACTGTCAAGGAAACAATTTGAGATCTAGCTCTACATCCATTATTACATACAGAAAGGCAACCAAAACACACGATGTGCCTTGGAGTTGGAGCCAGTGCCTTATGAGACCACCACAAACTTCAGTAATATTCAGCAAATAAGCTTTTCAGTACTTCATCAGTTTTGACTAAATTGAATTAAAATATTTAAATCTTCTCTTGAATTTTGTTACTCAATTATAAAAAAAGACATTCTTTGAGGAAATGTTTTTCTTGTCATAGAAATATGATGAAAGTAAAATGTGGAAAATAATATGGTGACAACTTAAACTGCATTCCTTTGCCAGCAAATGTTGGGAGAAAAAAGAAAATAACAGTGGAAGGTCTGTGGAAAAGTTATTAGAACAAATAAGTAGTGAATGGTTTGGTAGTGATAGAATTAAATTATGGGTATGTACTTAGTGCATAATATTCCTTGTCTCTATGTAAAAAATAAAATATTCCAAAAAAAAGTATACCAATAAAGATATAGCCTCAATGTTAACGGACTTGTTTAATCAAAGTATACATATTTTACTGAAAAAAAACCTCCCCTGCATATTAAAAATAATGAAGAGTGGCTTCTTTAATAAATTGTTTTTGTTAAAGGGAAAGATTACATAAATTCACAGATAGCAGTGCATGTGAAAGTCAGTTACTGCATCAGTTATAAGTTGGCAAGGATTGGATGGAGTGCCTCAGGATATTACTGAAGTACTATAAGGTATACTAATGCAGGAAGTAGCTAAGATTATTTTATAGAGGTTTATTGATTAATGCATGGTGAATGTATTTAAAATGCAGAATATAAAATTTAAACCTTTTAAAATAAAAACAGAAGGATTCTCAAGTCCAACTTTTTGATAAAAAGTGGTTATCAGTGATGTTCCACATATTAGATACTTTGACAGAAAGTAAATGCCGATTATCAGCTGTATACTACCCAGGAAGTGTTTAGGGACAAATTATCTCAGCTCTACCCATCTTTCAGAGAAAATTACAGTGTGGAAATAGCTCTTGGAAGATAGTTTGAAATCATCACATGATTATGCTACATAAAATGACATATGCCAGCTTTTAAAATATCTAGAACATTAGAACATTGTAATCCATTAAAAAATTTTCCAAATGAAGAACAAACCTGTCAGTGAATATTAATATTTGTGGAATTTCCACATTTTTTCATAATTGGTGTTCAACTTTATACTTTGAAAACAGGTATCAAGATTGTGAGTACAACCTTTGATTTACTTCTTCAATTTCTCATATATACTTGGTGAGGTATCCTGTGTCTGCTACACATAGTCCTTAAAACTAAACAACACACTAGAATAATTTAATGTTCATGCAACTTAACTTTGAAGCTGAATTTCAAAGAGATGTAATATAAAATTTTATACCAAGATTAAGATGCATAAAGAAGCCACGCGTGGTAGCACACGCCTGTAATCCCAGCACTCAGGAGGCTGAGGCAGGAGGATTGCTGCAAGTTTGAGGGCAGTCTGGGTTACATAGTAAGTTCAAGGCCATCCTGTGTTTCAACAAAAAAACCCAAAATGCATAATGGCTTCTCTGAAATATTACTACTAATCATATTTTATTGTGAATCATATATGTACCTATATTTAAATACACAATAAAATTGTCACTTTAGTTTATTTCACTGACTTATTTTTCAATCTTCCTGAATATTTTACAGTGCAATAATGTAGCAGCAAAGTAGTACAAACATTCAACTGCTAAATAAAACAATACAGGGTGAGGATCTCTCAGCCAAAATTCTGGGTACCAGAAGTACTTAGGATTTCAGACTTTTTTTAGATGTTGGAATATTTACATGTATCTAATGAACCACCTGAGAATGGAACCTTAGCCTAAGCATAAAATTCACCTACATTTCATGTATACCTCATACAAATACACATAAGCTGGAAATAATTCCACACCGTTTTTAATGTGTTTATGTTCTGACACCTATCACGTAAGGTCTGGGCTGGAATTTCCCACTTGTGCCCCACATTAATACTTAAAACAATTCAGACTGTGGAGTACTTTAGATTTCAAATTTTCAGGCAGGACATTTGCCTTTATGGACACTGACAGAACTCACTCATAAAACGAGGACAAAGATTTAGTTAATGTGCGATGCATCATTTACTAGAGATGGGGTGGTAATCATGTGAAAAATTATACACAAATAAAATCATAGGAACAACTAAGTCAAACTTGTAATACAGTTTATAGTTGGAATTTTACGAAAATATTTGATTTTCCTAAAAATAATTGTTGATCTCTGAATTAAAAGTATCCAAGTATGTATGATTCAAGATTGTAGCTGCAACAAATCAGAGTTCCACTAACAATAATACAATTGCATGAACAAATATTACTTGAAATAGTATGCTCTTAAAAATTTCTATTAAAGAAAAATATATATTTCCAGATTATGCTTGCATTATAGATAATCCTTACTATTAAATGTTCTGAACAAAACTCCTATCAGAATGTTAAAATCACACTAAATGTTAAAATAACCTCCTTTACAAAGTTTACAGTGATTTCCACTGTTAGTCATTCTTTTTGTTGTTGACCATCACTTTATGGCTTGATGACATCATAATGGCTTGATGACATCCTAATGGCTTTCTAGTGGGATGGAATGTCTATTTCTCACAAAACTAAAAAGGTAAGCAAACAGAAACATTGAAAAACGCATTATGTTAAAAGGAAATACTGATTTTTAAGTCCATTGTGGAGAAAAGAGTAACTTTAAGAAATTTATTACTATACTATACTATCAAAGAGTAACTTTAAGAAATTTATTACTATTCTGATACGATTTTGATACATTCTTTGATAGCAATGCAATTGAGAGTTTTTATACTTGTATGTACACTTGATTAAGCTATCAAAAGGCCAGTGTTATTTGAATTTAGCAAAAAAATAAAACCACACTTCTCTGAAAATGTAATTCATTATGTGAAGGCATTTACCTCTGTATTCTCCCGAGTAATCCATGCACTAAGGGAGGAATCAGCACATGACATAAGATTGCAAAGTTAGGCAGAACAACTTACTGTTTTTTCCTTCCCAGGTTCGGCCTGTTCGGGTTTTGCTGAGCCGGCTACCTGTGGCTGCCCCTTCGCCTTGGTCGTCTGGGCCTCCTCCTTGGGTAAAGTCTGTGCTGGGCCAGGGGGCAAAGCTTCCACCTGGGCCTGGGGTTGCTTCTCCCTTTGTGGTGTCTCGGGAGCACCCCTGCCCCGGGACTTCTCTTGGGCAACTTGCACTTGAGGTTCAACCGTCTCACGCTTTGCTTCCTCTTCTGGGCCCAGGGCTTCCGCTTCTGGGGATGACTTTTTGTCTTCAGGAGCTGGCCTTTCTTCTTCAAGGGCTGGCTCCTTTTCCTTAGGAAGCGGCTTCTTTTCTTTGGTGGTTAACGTTCTGTCCTCCGAAAGTGGCTTTTCCTCTTTGGACAGTGGCTTTTCTTCTGGAAGGGTTGAAACTTTGTCTTCCTTGAGTTTACTCTCTTCTTGTTTTAGGTCTGAGGGAATCTTAGGAGTCTTTTCACTTGAAGCTGTTTCTTTTACTTTCTCTGGAGTGGGTTTTACAGCCTCAGTTTTTGCTTCTGTTTCCTTCTTTTTCGCTTTTCCCTGAGCAGCAGCTGCTGCTTTCTGAGGCGGAGGTTCTGCAAGGCCAGGCACAGGGGACACTTTGGGTCCAGAGGGTGCAGGTGGCATTCTGCCCATGTCTCCGAGCTGTCCTGAGATAGCTCTCTGAGTTTGGCAATTTAAACACAGCCATTCTTGAATCTGCAAATCAAACAGCAACAAAAATACTGATTAGATTATCCAGGTTCTGTTTCTCTGCATTTAAGAAGGTAAAAATTGCCAATGCCTAGTTGCTTTTTTACTATTACATTGTATTTTATATTATATGGGAAATGGAGGTTTTCTAAATCCATGAAACATCAAATTTTAAGAAGGAAGTTACAAAAAGATTGAAATCTAAAACTGGGGAGAAGTTTTAGAGACTAAGAATTCGCCCTCTCACCATAAATGAGGAAAGAAAGAAGGAAGGAGTGGAAAGGGAAGAGAAAGGTGGAAAGAGAGGAAAAGGAAAGAAAAGAAGAGAGGCGCTACAGACGTATCCAACTCTGGGGCTACGGGGAGAGAGTTTCCATTTGTAGCATATAAAACTACTTTTCATTCTGGATGATACTATCTTTCATCCTATTTTTCTCATCATAAATTTATTCAAACACTATTACATTTAATAATTTTCTTTTAATCAGAAGTTCTTTCAGGATTTAGACCATTATTTCCTACCTCTTTACTAGTATAGGTAGAGTTTTCAAGAATCACTTGTGCTTAATTCTCTATTTGCTTCCAGAATAAGACAATAACTTCATTCTTAATACTGATCACTGTTTGGCATGCAATTGAGCAAGAAGAACTCCATGGCTCCAATTCTTTGGTGACTTTTTCCCAGACTCTGCGGTCTGCTGAGGAACATATCTCCTCCTATCTCTGGCTCTGTAGTATATAAGCTATGGTTACTTGAACCCAGTCAATGGAAGTGGAATTTAGTAAGCAATTTTCTAGGAGCTACACGAGCACTGTAGCAGAATCCTAGGGTTGGGGGAAGAAGAGTAGCCTTTTTATGCTAAACTTCCAGATAGTTTTGCAAAGTAAAGATAGAAAACTGAAAGTTTATAACACACACTCATTTGGGGACAAAAAATGCCAGACTAATGAACTGCAGAAATTCTCCTTGACTGATACATGCTGTGCTTCTCCCTACACTATGCTCATCTTAATAGTAAGAAACGCAGGCTGCACCTGCAGCTGCTTCCTACCTCCTACCATGCAGCGCAGCGCAGGCCCCTTCTGGGGTGCAGAGCGTGGAGGATCAGGCAGGCGACAGAGCCTCCCTAAGTGCGCTGCCTTCTGACAAGCTCGACTGAAAACTGCCTTTTTGTACTGGCTCACTCTTTCTAGGTACTTAGCTTAAATTATTTATAGAGAGAAAAATCACTTACTACTGTAAATACTATCAGAGGCCTAAGTTTCATATCTTACTTCAGCTTCCAATCTCTTCACAGACATTACAATGTTGCTAAATATCTGTCACTGTTCCTCAACCTGTAAACCATTCTAGTTCTTATATGCTAATCGAAAAGTGTGAAGCCAAAGTCAATTCTTTAACTGCAGTAAAAGGCTGCCCATAAAGCACTGGGATGTGTTATGGGTTCATTTTCTATTTGTGTGTATGGATGATCATCCAGTAGCAATTACCTTAATTTCTGAAGTGGAATGCAGCTTCCCCATATGCAGAGTGATTTTGTGCACAAGCCATGGAAAAAAAATTACTTGATCTCTCATCAGCTGCTAAAAGCTCCTGTGTTGAGCAGTCCCCAAAGGAGGCACCTCCATAATATCTAAGGAAAATCACTCTTAATCTGCGTTGTGGTTTTAAAAGCCATGACTTGATGGGGCTACATCTTAAGATATTTTCATTCAGAGCCTGACATTTTTAAAAACAAGAGCAGCCACAGATGGCTGTGTCACCGTGCTGTGGCACAGGGGCTCTCCGAAGCGTCTGCTGGTGTGTGTTATGCGTTTGTCAGGCCACACCCTAAGACAAGTAAAGGCGGGGGCTTTTGACATACCAGGGATACAGGTTTCACGCCACTGAACATTTCTGTCCACTGGAAAAGCATGTTTGTTTCACCTGAGTATTGGTGACAAATTGTTCACACTAAGTTATATCTCCCCCACCTCGGGTGCATGATACCACAGTTGTGCATAGCTTTTTGTTAAAGAAGGCTGTGCTGAGAGATGAAGCACAGCGGTAATGGGAAGGCAGTATAGCCATTATAGTCACCCCATTAAAATTTAGGTCAGAAGGTGAAAGGTATAACATTTAATGTCCTGTATCATATCAAATCCTTCATTTTTTGGATTTAAAATAAGGCCTGGCACACTTGAAAAGCAACAATAGTCACATCAGCAAGGTCTGCAATGTGAACACGAGCCAACAGGCTAAATTTACTGACACAAAGGGTGTTATCCTAAGGTCCTCATTGCCTAACTGAAATTAATGCTATGTTTAAATCTGCATCCACCGATAAAACCTAGTAGCTTTAAAAACCTATTTTTTTTGTCACTGACTTTTTGCCGTTACTTTAAACATGATGTTACTACACCAAGTCCCTTGAAAGAATGATTGATTGTCATTGTGAATAACATAAAAAGGCCAAGAGTAATTCTTTTGGCTTTACATTGTGACCAGTTGTACCTAGAATTAATCTGAAAACTGATGTTCCTGTTATGTCAAATAAGGACAATCTAATTCATTCACTTATTTGTTCTGTTTAAACAATCTAATTCATCCATTTAGCTATTACATTTATATCTAATCGGTACATATGTTATTTGGGAAGTATGTGCTCAAGTCTTATTGCATTAGGGAAACCTGTTATTAAGTAGAAGAAAAAGGGCATCAGCAAGAACAAGCATAATGTGCAATAGAATGAATAAAGGGACAGAGAACAAAAGCTGTGTTACAATGCAAAGCGGGAAGATACCATTTCTAACCAGATTTCCTCTAAGATTTGGCCTTTATAGGTAGATTACCATGGTATGAATGCAAAAGAAATTCATGTTTGCCAAAAATATTTATTGCCACTATTTAACAGAACTGTCAATTTCAAACACATTTATAGGCAGTGGCAAAAGGCAAAGTATATTTAGTGGCAAAAAGACATTAACATAGGATGAAGGCCTTGCCATTGTGTTCATAGCAGAATTCAGTCATGAAGTTAGAAGACAGGGTATAGGAAAGTCATATGCACATGTTTGAAAAAAGGCAATGCATCGGAACACTAGAATTACTGAAGAGAGATAGAAATTTAAACAACAAATTTGTAATTTAGTAAAAATAGAGTAAGTGGAATTTTTTTCTCAGATGGCATTTATTACCAAATTAAAAAAAAAAAAAAACTTCAGAAACATTGTAGAAGAAATTGACTCCTTGTACACGTGTTAGGCCTGCAGTATTCCAATTGACCTGCCAGAATGTGATGACACACCCATGCTATAGACAGTAAATCGAGAGGCAAGAAGCAAGCACGATGACAAGAAGCAATGGCAGGACATGGTGGGTGCAGCAAGTCACACCGAGGGCTTCACCAGCCAGTGGAAATGCTGAGCTGCTGGCCTCCTGCATGCATCTGCTTTCTGGAGCCCTGGAACCCAAAGTAGGACGCCACCCAATTCAGCAAGCAGAAGAAGTTTTTAATGTCACTAAGGAATTACAAACAAAAAGACAACACACAACAGAACATATACTTATTTAAATATGTAAATTAAATTTTGTTTATTAAAAGGGAGAAGAGGGTACTATTGGAGGGAAGGCAGAGGTCAAGTAAAATAAAAAATTGTGTGAGAAAACTGATCAGATATCTGACAATGAGTAAAAAGAACAACAATGAATTTCCAAGAAAGTTCGTTTTGAAAAGTAATGGTCATTATCATTATCGTGGCATCATTAGTTAAAAATAAAATTATTAGAAAAATTGCTTAACAAAAATTAACCTTGGAAATACTCTGTAACAATCTAAAATAATCTGTAGTTACAAGTATTTCATGTTGTTTAACAAATATAATACCAAATATTTCTGCATTATTGTGTCTGGGAAACGAATGAGGAATTCTATTTCTAGAATAGAAAGGGATAATGATGACTAGTATGGCTGTGAAAAAAGTCTCTTTAAGCATTTATAAAGAGTAGTTCATCAGAGTCTGTGTGTATATTTAATATATATGATTGTCTCCATCACTATCTTTTTAAGAAAATATTTTAAAGATAAAATTATAACTCACTTTGATTCGTCACGGTCTCTCCTCTGAGCGCCTGTAACAGTCCTAAACCAGGCTCAACCAGGAAACGCACAGGCAATATTTTCACACGACTCAAAAACGCAGTGTATGTCAGTGATATAGATGACATTTTTGCTGAAAATAGTTAGCTAGACTTAGTTTTACGTCTTTTGTAGCAGTAATGATGATGAGACATAAATATTCATTTCCTGCTTCAAAATTAAATATTGAATGAGTTATACTTTTATCTTTAAAATATTTTCTTAAAAGATAGCAATGGAGACAATCACATATATTAAATATACACACAGACTCTGAAGAGCTACTCTACTATAAATGCTTAAGGAGACTTTTTTCACAGCCATACTAGTCATCATTATCATTGTTCACACCCCATTTCCTTTTTATTTCTATTTTTAAAATAAATTTTGTTTTGAGTATACCATTATAAATATCCTTTAATGGCCCAACTATAAATGTTTACATAATAAATGCTTATGTTTCATCTATATTATTATTAAATATATTATCAGAATACTCCATACTATGACACAAACACGATTTTTGTGTCAAACCACATTTTTATTTACTGTTTTAACAATAATAAGTAAAATATAAAAATTCATCTCTATTCTGATAAACATAGAGTGTATGAAATACAACTTTATGCTGCTCACATCATACTTGAACATATTCAATTTCAGCTGGTACAATGTTAATAAAATGCATTTATTTTAATATCACAGGATCAAAGCTTGTTCAAAACAAAACAATGCTCCAAAAATCCATTAATCTTAAGAGGAGAGTGGGAAATGAAGGCAAGGAAACCAGAAAGAGATACTGCGGTGCCACTCAGCCTTCTTCCATCAATAAGCAATTTGCTTTACATAACAGTTCAGCTGTAACCATGGCAACGATACCATTAAGGA